AAAATTCGTACAGCATGAAGAGTTGTCAGAATTGTTTGAAAAATATGGACATAATATCATAATTAATGTTATTTTATAAACAGGTTGTGCCTTTATTGTTATGAATCGTCGTCAAGATGCTGATAATGAGTTACAATTTAAGAACGGTGCCAAATCAATAAGCACCATCAAATAAAATGAGTGCTGATCATATGGACATAAAAATGGAAGAAAAACAGCATTCAAGCAAATGCATCTTGGATTTTTCGAGACTTTAACGAGGTAACATCACATTCAGACTTCAAATAGCTGTAACAATAAGGACAACAGAATTAGTAATAATAATGGATCAAGAGACTGTAAGAATGATATTCATTAATTCATTACAATTTTACCAATTGTATCATGTTTTTGTTTTAGGCGGCAATTAAAAGAACAGAAGAGAAGGAACGTGAGAAGCAACTCAAAATGGATTAGGAATGCAATCAAAATGGATAACTGGATGTAAAGCAGGAAGATGGAGTATATTTTTATTGTAAGTTGTATATTTTTTTTGATAAACATTTTTAAAACCAGTCATACTTTTGACTGGTTTATTCGAATTTTTACAACTGTAAAAGAAGAAAATGCCCCACCGTCCTGCTCAATTTTTTTTTCGGCACTTAGACTTCTTACATTTTTGGCAATATTTTATCAAAATTCGTACAGCATGAAGAGTTGTCAGAATTGTTTGAAAAATATGGACATAATATCATAATTAATGTTATTTTATAAACAGGTTGTGCCTTTATTGTTATGAATCGTCGTCAAGATGCTGATAATGAGTTACAATTTAAGAACGGTGCCAAATCAATAAGCACCATCAAATAAAATGAGTGCTGATCATATGGACATAAAAATGGAAGAAAAACAGCATTCAAGCAAATGCATCTTGGATTTTTCGAGACTTTAACGAGGTAACATCACATTCAGACTTCAAATAGCTGTAACAATAAGGACAACAGAATTAGTAATAATAATGGATCAAGAGACTGTAAGAATGATATTCATTAATTCATTACAATTTTACCAATTGTATCATGTTTTTGTTTTAGGCGGCAATTAAAAGAACAGAAGAGAAGGAACGTGAGAAGCAACTCAAAATGGATTAGGAATGCAATCAAAATGGATAACTGGATGTAAAGCAGGAAGATGGAGTATATTTTTATTGTAAGTTGTATATTTTTTTTGATAAACATTTTTAAAACCAGTCATACTTTTGACTGGTTTATTCGAATTTTTACAACTGTAAAAGAAGAAAATGCCCCACCGTCCTGCTCAATTTTTTTTTCGGCACTTAGACTTCTTACATTTTGGCAATATTTTATTAAAATTCGTACAGCATGAAGAGTTGTCCGATACGTTTGAAAAATATGGAGATAATATCAACATTGATATGATTTTAATAATATGTTGTGCCTTTATTTTCATGAATTTTCAAGATGCTTTTGAAAAAGAAATGATTTGAAATCAATGAAATCATTGAGAAGAAACTAGAACTGCACTCGTAGAAATTGAAGAAAAAGTTATTTTATGAATAGCACAAATTGATGAAAATTCTAAAAAATATCAAGACAACATACATAAAGAACGTAAAATCAATAAATAAGTACTTGAGGAGACAACTGAAGAAGAAATGACTCAAATAATTGCATTCCTATAAGATTCTGCTCCAGGTATTGATGGAGATGTGATTGTACCACTAATGGTTCATCTTACTATCAAATGATGAAAAAAGAAATTTTTCCTAATGCATTAAGATTGTTAACGTTACACCAATCAACAAGACAGGATTACCAATTCGAGCGATGAATTTCACGAATACAGCCCGTTTTATGTATGTTTGCTGGAACAGATCTATCCGCAGCAATATTAATTTTGAACGGATCCAAGGAAAGCGAAATAGAATAGCACTAAGATCAGCAGCTGCAAAAAATAATCAAATGCGAGGTGCGACTGTTATTTTGACAAAAAGCATTTAATTATTTTTGTAAAAAATCTTCAAAAATATATTTGCAAAAAAAGTGCTTCAGCTCATATTCTAGTTAATATAAATAAATTGTAGTGTCAAAGTTCATAGATGGGCATTAAAATTGATATTAGATAGAGCGCATAAGTTTTCAAGCACATGATCTTTTTATCAAATATTTCACATATTTGGAACTGGATACTGGAAGGGTTTCGAGTAAAATCCAAAACTAGTTCAGTCCTTATACGTTTGTAGAGTTTTTGACACATCTGTGAATAATTTACGACCTATTGTTATTCCATTTATTCAGATTTTCTACCTTCATAAAGAGCTAGCCCCCCTTTTTTTTAAAAAAAAACTTTTTTAAACTTTAAATCGCAGTTAATTAACAAAAGCTAATAAGTTTAAGGGCAAATCCATGAATAAACGGTACTACGAAAATCGACTAAGAATTCTTCTCAACTTGATAAATTCAAAAAAAACCGTTAAAATCAAATAATAATTAAGTTTAATTTACTTCCTGAATTATTTTACCTATCAAAAACAGTGCCAATTTACATATTTTAGATCTAAGATGACTAATGATCTAATTTAAGGCTTAAAAAATTAAAATTATTTTGTTTGGAGACAAATTTTAACGAATTTTTCTCTTTCAAACCGTTTTGGATTCATTTGTGTTTTGCAATAATGAGTCGAAAAATTAATAAACTGACGCTAATTTTGTAAATATCTCTTTAATTAAACATTTTATTGAGATAGATAGAGAATTAAAGCTAAGACGAGCGAAAATCTAATGTATATCTTTTCTCGACGGTAAAATGCATATTTAACTAGAAAATAGAAAAAGTGTAAAATTCAATTTTCATAGAGTTAACAATCAGACGCTCTCCAAATTGAAATAACTCATTAGTTAAAGCACATAGAAGATGTGGTTTTTTGTAGAAAAATTCTTTCGTGGATTTGCCCTTAACACAAGAACAGATATTGCAATAGCTTTTAATAATCGAGTAGAGAAGGTTTTATTGATTTTTGACAGTAAACATTTTTCTGGGCACCCCCCTTAAAAAATCCTGGTTACGCCCTGCTACAGACCTGGTTAAAATTCAAAAGTTCTAATTTTAATAAATGCAAATTCATAGTAATTCATAGCTGCATCAAAAACTTTGTACACAATAAAAATAATAAAGCTATTGCACCCAAGACTGAGCTAAATAAAATGTTTTGTATTCTCTCACGTTCGTTCCGTGAAACGATCCTCAAATACTTAGTAACTACATCTCGTTATTATAAAATCTGCAATAAAAACTTAAAACAAATGTTTATTACCTCAATTATTATTGTATAATTCTACAAAAAATTTAGTTCATTGATCTTATGTTAAATGATGAACGATTTTTGTGATGTTCCATTTGAAATTTGGGTTATCTTTTCATCGCATTTGAGATCTGTGCGAAAAAAGCTGCTACATAACAAACATTCGTTCACTTAATGATTTTAAGATCTTTATTTCCCCGAAACGACGACGTGTTTACATGCAGGAAGTTGATGGATATACGTAGATGATCTCTTTTAGGATGTCGTTCACTTGTTATAAATTTATGGTTTAGGAAGTTGTTGAGAGAGGAGGGGGAGGGGATTGGTGACATTTTGTAACTGTTTAATTATTTTGATAGATTTTACAAACATTGAACGGGGAGGGAGGTATAAATTTTTTGAGTTTAATGAGTAAGCCCTTTGAGTAAGTTGTGGATAAGTGGTGCTGAAATATAGAACTTAATTTGTCATTTTGTAGAAATCATTGGGGGGGGGGGGGGGGGTGTTCTCAAGAGTTAACCTTCTAGCTTTACTAGATGAAATTAATGTCTGTGTAACACAAAAAAGAATTGATTGCCTAAAAGACGTCATTAATGACCATCTCCCCAAGAAAAAAAAAGACAATTTTTTGTTTGTCAACGTGTGCCGGCTTACACGCAATCGAAGCTGTCAAAAAAAAAATCTTTTTTTACAATTTTGCAAACGTGGGTTGGTAGGTTGTGTACTTCATTATTATCAATTAAAAAATTATTTTCAAACAAGAAATCAGCAGAAGATTTTTCATTTTTAAAGAGTTCTTTTTTCCGTCGTAGCAAATGAATTATTGACGTCAATTGAATGGCAAAACGCAAAGATAAAAAAAAACACGATTCGAGAGTGAAAATGTCAACATCCCGAAATTTTCTTTTTTTCGCTTATATCTGCAGCATGTGAGTGTCTTTTTTATGGGCAGATTTCATGGATTTTTTTTTATTATTTCGCAATGTTTTATAAACACATTCCTTGATATTGAATAAACTCGAGTTTTTTCTTTAAATAATTAAATGTCAAAGTCATGGCGGTAGGGGTTTAATGTGAATTCATCAAAACTTTCAAACAAATGTTCAATTAAGTCGTTTCAATCATTTTATATTTTAAAAAATCTTTCATCACTTCTATAAATACGTCACATATCGGATATATCTTAAAACTTTTTTGTCACTTGTTTGATTTAACTGCTATGAAAAGACGTCATTCGTTTAATTGATTGGAAGATCATTCAACGCTCGATTGATACAGTTTCGTAATTCATTCATTTGACCTCCATTTCCATGATTTTATATTATTTTTTATCTTTCGAATGTTTAACGTATTTTTTGAACTCAAACATTTAACGGTTTTCGAAAATTCAAATTTTATGCTCAACTTCTAATTCATTATCAATGATGTTCGAAGAATCCATGAAAAAAAATTTTAAATTAATTTAAACTAGCTTAATTAACCTTTAAACATTAATTATGACGCAATTCTAAACGTATGATGTAAATGTATGATGCATAAATATATGACGATCAAAGTCATCTTATACCATAGAAAACTAAACTCTAATGTTCAACGGGTTTTACAAATTCAAACAAAAAACTGTGAGTATACAAAAAGTATGCTAAAAAGGTAAACAAAACAATTGTGAAATACAAGAATTGAATTTTATTAAAAAAGTATGTTAAGGCAATGTTTAAGAGTAGTAAAAATAAGTTCAGTAGCATGTAATACATCAAAAAAGAATGTATCAGTGTTTATACATGGAATTAACAGTGAATTCTCGATTTTTTCAAATTCACAAATTATTCAGCATGCTCGATTTTCATCCACAAATAATAATTTAAGTGACAAATCCAGTAATGATGAGTTTAGGAAGTTTATAGCATCACAACATTCAGATTCCTTTGGATCATTATCACCGAATGTCAATGCAGCAGATGACGAGTTTGTGGACGAAGATGATATTAAGGAAGAGAATTTTATTAAAAATCCAAAAAGAAAGTCTGATCAAAAGAGCACAAAAGTATATGCAGACATGATTAAGGATCATCTGAAGCATGGTAGAATAAAGGAAGCCATTGATGTATTAGAAGTGAATATTAAGGATGATGGATTTCGTCCAATGAATTATATCTTTAATCTGTTAATTGATGGATGTGCTAAAGTTGGATATACCAAAAAGGCATTTAATCTATTTACTCGAATGCGACAGAGAGGATTGAAAGTTACAGGTGCAACATATACCTCATTATTTAATTCCTGTGCCAATAGTCCGTACAAACATGAAGGACTAGAAAAGGCAGTAAGATTAAGGGAAATTATGGCTGAAAAAGGCTATGAACCGAATTCTAGTAACTATCATTCGATGATTAAGGCTTTTGGACGTTGTGGTGACATGAAGACAGCATTTATCCTTGTCGACGAAATGATTGATAAGAAGCTCTTAGTCACGACTGAAACATTTAACTTCCTGCTTCAAGCCTGTGCCTCAGATCAAGAATTTGGATTTAGACATGCTCTACTCGTTTGGCATAAAATGTACCAAAAAGGATTAAAGCCTGACATTTATTCCTTTAATTTAATGGTCAGATGTTGCCGAGATACACGATTAGGAGATAGAAAGTCAACAGAGGAAGTGATTCAAACAATTTTGCTGAGAAATTCAGAGAATGTGAATCGAATTGAGGACGGCGATAGTAATGAGAACCTACTAGCTAGTGGTGAGTCAGTAAATGCTATTAAGCCAACAAATCCTCAAGATACACAGTACATGCCAAACTTACTTGCTTTACGTCCAAATCTTGGTAATTTGATAGAAATTAAGGAAGTAAAGCAACCGAGTGATCGATTCTTACTGCTTGGTGGACTTACTGGATATTTAGACTTAATGAGGCACTTTGAAGTTCCACCAGATTTAAAGACATTCACAGAATTAATGGATGTGATTCCTAATACAAAGGAAATGGACATAAGGTTACTTAAAATCATCAGAAAGGCACAAATCCAATGTGATGTTGATTTCTTTAATATTCTAATCAAAAGACGTGCATTAAGGAACGATTATTTTGGTGCTAGGGAAGTTCTTGATGACATGATAAAGCGAGCAAAATTGGAACCAGATATTGTGACTTATGGAGTTCTAGCATTAACTTGCCAGACACGTGATGAAGCATGGGAACTAATTAATGAAATGAGGGATAAAGGAATTAAGATGAACTTGCCAATTCTTGGTGGAATGTTAAAGCAGGCATGCTATAATAAGCATTTTGACTATATTATGGATATCTTGTATATTATCAAGAAATTCAATATTAAGCCAAATGATAGGATTATGGATACAGTCGATAGATTCGTTGTTAGCTGTAATTACCTTAAAAAGAGGGACAATAAGAACATCCCGAGGAACTTCCGGGAAAATGTCAAAAGATTTAAACAGGATTATGTAGTATGGAAGGAATCAGTTGGACTAAGCCAGTCAGAAACATTAACAGACGAGGATAAGAAAATTTTAAAAGAGAAGCCATGGAAACAGTTTAAAGAGGCACAACCTGTTGGGTACGAAGATTCTAAGAATGAAAAATGGCAACGGAAACAAAAGCTGAAAAGAAATATTAAAATGATCAAAACAAAGCCTATATTAATAGAAAAAGAGCAGGATTAGTCATTTATTGTGTAGTATAATTAATATAAATGGATATAATTTTTAACCAACCATTGTGCGTTTACGTCCTCTTGCTCTTACTTCCTCAAATCTCTTGATAGTTTCAGTCGATAATGTATTTGTTTCTTTGTAGCTAATTAGCATTTTTTCGAATAATTCTGGCAAGCTCGAATGTGTGCTTATTAGTGATCTTTCTAGGACATACAAATCCACTCCTTTATCTTCATGACCTGCTGAATATGATGACAGTCCAAAATCTATGAAAATCACATCGTATCCATCATCGTTGAAGTTAATCAGCATATTAGATGTTGTCAAGTCACCATGGATTATGTTATTAACATGAAACTTGCCGACAATACTTCCAATTTTGCTACACAAAAGATCCAGTGCATTATTATCTGAACTTTTTTCAAGCCTAAAAATGTACTCTTTGGCTGTGATTGCTTTAAGGAAGTACTCCATGTAAACTTTTCTCTCATTAAAGTCCACATGAAACAACTTAGGCACTTTAATTCCTTGATCTTCACATCTTTTTATTGTTTTTTGTTCAGCCTTAATCCTTGATTTTGTTAAGGTCTTATCCAGCTCTGGTAAGCGGTAATTCTTAACAAATCGTTCCTTAACAAGACACTCATTACCATTCCATACTCCTTTGTATAGTTTGGCTTCAGCTCCTTGCTTAATTATTGCTATTTCTGACATTTTTGAGGGTCGACAATTTTGTAAATAAAGGAACAAGTAAAATTCCATGTAAGGCGAGTTCAGAAAGCACTTTTTAATGAAAATACCGTTAAAAAATAATTTGAAGACACAGGCGAATTTGCTCAGAATTTTACTGAATTTGCCATGTTCAAATCTCGAACATAAATAAAAATCAAAAAAAGCTAATTTAACATAATTTAGGGCTTTTCTATCCACAATGACTGATAAAATCATTGACTGGCAAGTTTCTCGACACGACCTGCGTTCTCGTGGCACGTATTTACTGGAAACTGGTAAGTTTTTCAGACATATTTCTCTTTTGACCTCCATTATTTTAATTTTACAATTAAATTTTTAGGAAAATATTCAGATTGCTCATTTCTAGTCGGAGGTATGTGCTTAAACTAGTTCCTTGTGATTGATAGTGTGGAATTATGTTGATTGAGTGATTAAGAACAGCCAAAATGTTGAAATTGGATTTTGTGAATGTAAATTTGTTCTGGATGTTGTGCATTGTAGCCTTGATGCAAATTTGAATAACATTCAATCGCTTAATTTCACCGTATTATACTTGAAATAGTCAAAGGCAATCGATTTAATATTTTTATGAATCTTTAAGGTCCAGAGAATCAGCAGACACTTGCGTGCCACAAAATAATATTAGCAATGGCTAGTCCAGTATTCGAAGCAATGTTCTTCGGTGAGACTTATGACACTTATCTTTATGTTCTATAATACTAACGCTCGTTAATGTTGCAGGAAGCTTCAATGACCCAAAAAATGATCCAATTTTGATATCTGATGTGCAGGCGGATGCTTTTAAAGCACTTTTAGAATACATTTATACAGATAAAATCAACATAAACAATGTTGACAAGGCATTTGATTTATGCTATGCTGCTAAAAAATATATGCTCCCTTTTGTCGTTGATCAATGCACTCAATATTTATGGAGTGACTTAAGTGCAAAAAATGCATGTCGAGCATATGAATTTGCGAGACTGTTTGAAGAGCCATCATTGCAAGAAAAGTGCTTGCAAATAATATGTACGAAAACACTGGATGTGATTCAAGACAGCAGTTTTGAGGAAGTTGAATTATCAACAATTATAACGATTTTAGATCAAGATGATTTAAATGTCGACAGTGAATTAAGCTTATTTTTTGCACTAAATAGATATGCAGAGAAGCACGGTTTAAGGACAAGTGACAATCAAAATGAAACATCAACTAGTCCAAGTCCCGTTGATGTAGAAAGTCCACAAGAAGATATGGCAGAAATTAATATAATTGAAGCAGAACCTGGTCCCTCAAATCGTCCTGATCCAGTCCCACAACAACAGCCGCCAACAGCTCAACGTGCACAGGAAATAGCAGTTCGTGATGCTGTCAAGAAGATTAGATTTTTAACATTAACGCCACAGCAGTTTGCAGAAGGTCCAGCTCGATCGAATTTACTAAGTCAGTCAGAGGCATTTGCCATTTTAATGAATATTAGCACTCCAAATTCAGTATATCCAATGCCAGAAGGCTTCTCAATGAATAAAAACTCACGAGTTCCTTTCGATTCTCGTTCACCGAGTCCTCCAAGTCGCACAGAACCGCCATTATCAAGTCGTCAAGCAATAGCAGTGTCAGTTCCCCAACATGCCCCAGTTCCTTCAAACCAAAATAATCGTCCACAAACTCCAAATCAAGCATTATCATCACCAGATATTCAGTATCAGCCAGAATCACCAAACTTTAATTACTTTCAAGTTTTACGAGATCAGCGAATGGCTGAAGAACGACGCATTTATTCATGTATTAGAACTATTCAGCATATTCGTGAAGTTCAAAATCGGTCAGTTCTTGATTGTTCCTTTACATTCTCAGTCGATAGAAATGTCAGCATATTAGGGCTGCAAATGTTTACTCAAATTAAGCCATCAAGCATTGCTGATCGTTACAGTGAAATCATTTATGCACATTTATTAGATTCACATGGCTCACGTCTGACTTATACACATTCTAATCAACGAGTCCCGTACGATTCTGTTAATGATATCCTGTTTGATAGGCCAATGTTCATTCAATCAAATAAAGTTTATAAGATAGGAGTTGTATTTAATAAGATTGGATTTTATCAAGAGCACGAAGTGCAAGGACTTGTGAGGAGCTCCAATATAACATTTACATTTAATACAGGAAATCCAAATGATACGTGTCGTGAAGGATTAATTCGTGGAATTATTTATAGTCTTTAAAATTTGTTAAATTAACTTAGTTCCGAAGATTTTTATATAATATGACTATATTTTAATTTTTAATTAAAGTATGACTTATGAAACTTATTATTTAAGAACATTTTACTTAGATTTAGATTTATTTTGGAACATGCAAGACAATTAGTTATTCTGGACTGACAGAAGCGCATTTTCCCAAATTAGAGATTTATGAGACTTGGAATATTGAGTTTTAACGGTCGTGAAAATATTGAAAAGTAACGGTTTTCAAAAATTTGAAAAATAGACAGACCGACAAAATAAAGACTAAAGGGAAAATACGCTAATATAAAATAATGAAAATCAAAAAGAATTATTTAATTTTGGTAACTAAAGTGATAAATGGATGTTTGCAGCTCTGTAAATCTCAAAAATTATTTGAAATAAATTTTTTAAAAGAACTGTATTGTGTGAAAATCTCATGTGTCTTTACTTGTTTATTCTGGTGTATATCCTTTTTCAACAAGTCTCACCACGTAACTCAGCTTTCTATTTTAACAGAGTATTAAACTGAATGTAAGGAAAGGTCAATTGAGCTTCTTTTTGTATGTAAATGAATTTAAAAAGTGAATTTATTGATTTTAAAAAAATTGGATTCAATTTTCAGAATTTAAAATGAACAGTAAAGCTTCAATTAAGTTCAAACTTGATTAAAAATAACAAAATATTGAACGAAACTCAGTATGTAGTTTCAAGCCCCGCGCTTAAAAACGTGGAACATTTTTATTAAATTAATTAAACAGTTTCCAAGTTATATTAGTTGAGAAAAACTTCTTATTAAGTGCCAAGGGTTGTGTTTTCCTCAAGGAAAATGAGGAAAGTCAAAAGAAAGCAAGATTTGTCGCCAAAAATTGATTTGGACGAAAGTTCAATTAAATCTAATGAAAATTCCAAGAAGAGGAAGCAATCGCCTCAGAAAGAGGAATCATCGGTTCCAGTCACAACTTCAGTCAAGCCAATATTTGTGCAATGCAGTCTCAAGGATGTGAGAAAATTAATTTCACTATTGAAATTGCAGGTTATGCCTGCATATAAAATTTCATCATCAAATACAACTCAAGTAATTGTCAAGTTTATTGAGGATAAGGCCTCAATAATAAATCTTCTGCGGTCTCAAACTATTCAATTCCACACCTTCTCCGAGAAATCGGAGAAAACAAAGTCATTCGTTCTGAAAGGATTTTACGAAACACCAACGAATGAAGTACTAAGATTACTTCAAGAAGCCAAGGTTTCAGCTGTCAAAGTGACAATTCTCGTCAAACAGCCCGAGTTCACCTTTTATCTTGTGCATTTTCAAGATGAAAGTGTGAACATCAACGTGCTCAATCATAACCACCGTAACATCGACAACATCATCATCAAGTGGGAGAACATCAAGAAGGGCAACAAAAGCCCAACGCAGTGCTTCAACTGCCAAAGTTGGGGTCACTCATCTCAAAATTGTGGATATAAGTTCCGATGCGTCAAGTGCACGGAAGTACACGGACCAAATCAATGTCAACGATCCACTCGTGATGGAAATGCCAAGTGCATTAATTGCAATGGCGATCATGCTGCCAGTTATAGACTGTGCCCATCGTTCATTTCGTATTCCAAAAGAATCGAAAAGTCAAGAGCCAAACCACAACTCAAAATGCTGCCACAGATATCAAGTCTTTTGGACAGTAACAATTTTCCATCGTTAAGCAAACGACATCAAGTTTCTGCTCATTCACATCCAGTGAATGCTGCAAGTAACTCATCAGCAACATTTCAAGAAGAGATTAATCAGCAACAACTGATCAATAATATCAGTTATGCAGAGAAACTCAACGAAGCAGTAAAGAATGAAAGCCTTTTCAAGAACGTCTAAAGAGAATCCCCAACATTGAAGAAGCAATAAATCAGTTCTGCAGTTTCGTAGACGAAGCCGGAAAGATCCCAAAGGATGCACCTCGCATTTAAACTCATGGTGAAGTATGGCTTCATGAGCTGCCCACCAGCACCGAACAAGCCAGTTCAAAAATAATTTATTAACGTAGTTCATAAGCTTAAAAAAAGCTTTTTTTTTTCTCGCTCGGCAACTTTTTTTAAACTTTTTATGCCACATTTTCATGATATATGTAAATCTCATTCATCAAAATTAATAATTAATCAAGATATAGTTGAATTAAAGCCATATTCAGGCTGGTGTCAAAATAAGACTCAAAGAAATGTAACTTAAACTACAATAATTCCAAATTTGAAATAAAGAAAGATTTGTCAGTTGTCATTGAATGAAACTTTAGTTGAAGTTTAACGATCATTTCAGATTCAAAAAGTTTTATTCTCAAAGGGGCTTGAAACTTTTTGTAATATACCAAAATTTTAAAATTTGAATTTTCGTTATAAATTGAAAATATTAAAGCAACGAAATTGAGCATTCAGCATATGTAAAGATGTAAATCCTTGTAACTGCTTGCTTTCATTCTTAGAAAACCATCAACAGTTCATCGATAAAAATAAAAAGCTTCAATATTCTATCAAAGTCCTCTCCAAAGTAGCTTATTTCCATGCATATTCACAATCGAACATGCTACAATACATATTTAAAATTTTAAACCCTGCAATTTGATAAATTATTCTTTTTTGCAATACTTCCCGAGAGGAATTAAATTGTTTGTGTGATAGGAAACAACAATTTTTTGTGCTATCAAAGAGCTTTTCGAAGTGGCATGTTATTTTAACTTTTTAAAATCTTCTTATCACTATGACACAAAAAATGAGTATGACAGTAGCGAGTTAGCGATGTTGGATGTGGAAGAATACTCAGTTCTGATGATGAGACACTCAATTTTGATATTTTTTTGGGACATGTTTCAAGGATTTACAAAAGATATTTTTCTAAAAGTGTCTTGAAGATTAGCAACAGAATTTAATTGTATATTTGACGACTTTAAATACTCATATCTTTAAACAAACAGAAAGGAAGTTAAATTTAATAGTTTTAAATATTTGAATTTTTAACGGGTTTCTGAAAATTTAAATTTATGCTTGATTTCGAGTGCGTTTTAAAATAAAACGAATTTTTGATTTTTTTAAATCTCAAATAACCGTTAAATTTTTAAAATTTTCAAACTTGTTCAAAAACTCAATAAAATTCCATAAACTCAGAAATTGAACAAACTACAAATGCAATAATGCACTTAATCAATACAATCCTAGCACTTTCCAAACTGAACTTGCTGACATTTATCTTAAAAACTTTCAAAAACCAAAGAAAAAAACTTTATATTTTTAAAATAAAGCTCCTTTTGTTCATTTTTCTCGTTCAACTTCTTCCACAATCATTAATTAATCGAAGACGAGGAGCTTAAGTTGGCGATGCGGTAGGAAAAGTTTTTTTTTTCTTTGGTGTTGCAAGAAGATTTTTCATCAACGTCAAATTTATCCCCATTTCTACTAGTTTGCCCCCCTCCCTCAACCCCCAAAAAAATTGTGAGTACTTTATAATCTGCAAAACTGTGAAATTCAAGAACAAGAAACTTTTGTATTCATGGCGAATTATGCATAATAAGTAAAAGGTGAAAAAAAGGCGAGAAAAAATGATTAATTAATTTATTTCATGAGATTCTTTACAACTGTGAAGCGTGAATAATCAGCAATATGCGGTATAATGACAAATGTTTCTTGTTTTTTATGCGATTTTCGCCTCTAGTCTCACCATGTGAATTTTCACAAATGGGAGGTAATTGAATTCCGCTCTTTTTAACTATACACGAGTGGAAAATCTATGATTTTTATTTTGGGGAAGTGAATTTTTTTTTGTTTTTAAAGCGAGCAGTTCCCTTTAAAAAGTTTTTATTGATTATTCAGATTTTTTTTTCACTGAGGATTCAAGCTAATTTAAATGTTCTTTAGCATACGTTGATAATTTGAGGCACGTAGACGTGATTTACAGTTAATGTATCATTTTCTAAATTTATATGAATCTAGAAGAAAGGAGGATTAACGAAGATTTGGAATATGTTTTTGAAATAATATGAATTTAGGGAGAATCTGTTGCTAGAATGACATTCAAGAATCTTAATAAAGTGATTTAGAGTTTATATTCTTAGCCATTAATGACTTAAGAAGATTTTTGTAGTTTTGTTAAAGTTTGATTCATCCTTGATCTAAGTGTAACTTAGTTTGCATTAAAAGATGCATAATTTGGTGTGTCTTAGTTTATATTCTAAGACGGATGAGCTTTAACTTGGTTAGGGTTCTTAGATAGACTAAGCTGCACTAGAAACTCATATTAGTGAAATTCAAAACAATTATGTTTGTTCCAAATCAAGCCTGATTCGTAAATTCTTCAGAAGGGCAAATCCGCAGAAAGCATGAACTGGGAAAAAGCGAGTTGTAATATTTTTCTACTTGTTTGAATTCAATAATATAAAATACGTTAAAATTTCTTCATAAAAAGTTATTATTCTGTTGCTTAAATTATTTTGGATGGTTTTTATCAATAAATTATTGCAGAAAAGTTTATAATTAAAGTTTAATATATGTTCAGCACAGTTATATGTATGATAATGTATGAATTGTAGGACTGAAAATTTTCCAACGTTTTCTAAAATTTTAAATATTATTGTGTTTTGCAACAATGCATTATCTTGAGTTTCGCAATAAAACGTTCTGCAGGATCGATTAACGCTATTTTTTGTTAATTACTTTAAATTGAGTACGTATATTTAAGAAATGATGTCAATTTATGATACAAAATTGCATTTCCAATGCAATAACTTGCAAGCCATATTGTCTAACTCGTTAAACATGTATTTTTTTTGGATTTTTCAAAATGAAATTTTCATGCGCAGGATCGATTAACGCTATTAAATTCAAAATATCTCTTTAATTAAATGTTTTAATCTTGTGCTAAGTATCAAAAGTTGTTCATTTTTCAAAATTACGCATGATTTGGTATTAAAACATTACTTTAAAAGTCAAATAGGAGAGAAATTTGAGAAAAACAAAATTTTGAAGCGTTTTATTGCCCGCGGATTTGCCCAGAAGAACGATTTCTTAAATTTTCGAACATTTATTCAGAACTTGTGTACAACAGGGAACAGTTTTTATTGTTAGAATCCTAGCCAATACCTCTGGACAAAAGCGTTACGCCCGATAGTTGAATTAGTTCTAAAATTAGAACCATTAGAACTCCTTATTTTAGAACGTGAAATCCGTTAAAATTTTAAGAATAAATTGCTGTTTTTTGCACTTTTTACTTGCTAAAGCTACTTTAAACTAGTTAATATACAAAGCTAAGGTCAAAAACTAAGGGAGGCTATGGATCACAATTGATCTGGAAAGCCAGCGATGTATGTATGTATGTATGTAAGGTCAAAAACTATAAGAAGATTGAAAGTAGAACAAGTAAAACCTACTCAAAAGACCTAATTTTAAGAAAAATTAATTTTTCAAAAGCTTAAACTTTGTAAACAAAGATTTGAATCGATTCGA